CTATCAAGGCTACTCCGGCCCGGGGCAGTCAAACCCAAATCGTTAGTCCTTTGCTCAACCCCAACTCCCCTCTCCCCCTATCCCTTCTCTTTCCTTCTTTTGATTGGTTTGATGAGTGATCGGTGAGATGAATTGAAAGAATTGCGTTGCTATCATCCTGTTGTATAGTCCCAGGTTCGCATCTTGCCGATCATTCATTCTCCAAAATTCTATTAAAATATTTTATATATACTTGATCGATTGATTCAATTACCATTGGCTTGAACCATTCTTACTGATGCCGATCATCTTATGTTTCTTAGCGCCCCCTAATCTGTCCTATCCCCCCCTCCCGTCTGGTCAACCTCCCCCTCAACCCAGCTCGAACCCTTCTGCCAATCAGCAGAACAATCACTTCCAGCAACCCCAACAGGCCCAAGCCAACCCATCTTCGACAACCCAGCCCTATCCATACAACAACTCTCAATATCCCGCTGGCGCTTACGGTCAATACACCGGTTATCCTCAACCGCAAGCCGCCGCATATCCCGGTACCACCTACAACCAGCTGCCTGCAAATCCCCAACAGGCCCAGCAGCCCGGCGGCCATCCCCAAGCGCAACAACAGCAGCCTGCTGCCCCTCATCCTGCTTACGCGAACTACGGCTATGGTGCCCCAGCTGGTCCACAACAGCCTACCAAAGTCAGTCCAGAGGCAATTTCACATCAGATCATCCTGCAGCAAGACTAATCTTACCCCTTCTTTTTTTTGAAAATCACAGGCCAACCAGCCTTTTCATCCTTACCCATCCCCCAATGGCGCTCAGTTGCCCTCCAACCCCGTAAGCCCGCTTCCGCACCCTGCACCAGCTTTGGTCGCTTCAACAGTCTTTCCTCAAACTGATTTCGCTTATCATCAACACACATTTTCCCTCCACCAGCAGAACCCCATCCCGCCCAACCCATACACGGGCTACCCTACTGGTCAAGTGAACGGACCTGGGCTTCAAAACTCTCCCAGTGGTGGGCCTGCCCAACCACCTTTCAAGCGACCACGATATGAAAACAGCAATACCGGCGCAGGATATGGTTCACCGGCTCAACAAAATTCCTATCCCGGCGCCACTGCTCAGCCGAACGCCAATCCTCAACCACCCGCGATACCACCCTTAAGACCTAATAACAATCACACCAAGATCGGTAATGGATCTTCGGGAACTTTGAGAATCGGTGCTAGTACTAGTAATAGTCGGGGCGGATTCACAGGCAGTAGACCTACCCGTCCAGGTGGCCCAGGGTTTGGTAACAACTCGCCCATTCGACTCAACTTAGGTGGCGGTGGAGGAACTGGCAACTACGATGGCAGCTCTGCTGGCCATTTCGACAACAATATGTCGCAATCCATGGCTCACCCGCTCCCGGCCTTTCACCAGTCGCCACAACCCTCGGGCAATACTCCCCACTATCCCCAAACGACCTATAACAACGAACAACCTTATCAACCCTATCCAGCTAACACCAGCTACCCTCCTTCGAGCAACAACGATTTGTCCAACCCAGCTATGGGTGCACACCCTCGTGGAATGAATGATGGAATGCGGGGCAACAACTTTTCTTCCGACTTCAACTGTGGCGCTCCGAATTTCAATGCCGGCCCGCCTCAGACCCCAAACGACTCTTTCAGACATCCCGTTGGAGGTCCTGGAAGCCATGGCTCCAGCTCTCATCGACCGGGTCGTGGGGGCTTCCGCGGTAACTCAGGAAGCTCCATGTCCGGCGGTCGGGGCGCTCGTGATCGAAGCGAGATGGCCGGCAGCGAGATGATGACTCCCCGCGGCAATAGGCCGTACCCTAATCAATCCTTCGGCTCCTCCAATAAATCGGAGAGACATGGACCTGGAAATCGATCGACTCGGGGTGGCAGTGGAGCTCCTGGTAGTCGACAAGATGATCACACATCTACCTTTAGTGCGCCCGGTGGTAGTGGTCCTCGTCATCCCGACAGGCCCACAGGCCCGTCCAACCGCGGTCCGCGCAACATTTCCAATCTGCCCACCGCTCCCTTTCCTAAAAGCAGTCAACATCATGATCGCAGAGGTGGCGGAGGTGGTAGCAACCGTGGCGGAGGAAGCATGGGAGACCGAGCTTCTGGAAGCAGAGGCGGCCGAAAGAACAACGGTCGGGATTCCAAGTTCGACGACCGCAAGACCGGCAACCGGGCCGGAAGAGGTGGTGGACCGGGCGCAAGCTCGGGATCTGGTGCTGATAAGACCAAACCGACTGCCGGTCCGAGCAGCTCTCGCGCCAAGAACGGCTGGGGTGCCCAGTCGAAAGAATTCCACGATCGTGAAAAGGACGGGGACAAAAATGAAGAAAGTATGACGCATTCCTTCAGCCCTTCGTTTTTTTTTTTTGTTCAAACACCTACAATGATATGTCCACTGACTCGGATTGAGTTTTGCTCCTCTCGTCGCAGATGCAGAGAAGAAACGTCCGATGACCGATTTCCGCATCGAGGGATTGGAAATACCTGATCTGTCATGGGCATGGGCGGCCGACAAATCGAATGGTATTGCCTCAAGCGCGATCGCCACCAGCCTACAAGAAAAAGCCAGAACGACTCCAGGCAAACATCCCCGTGATGAAGATGACGACTGTAACCAACCCGAGACATCTACCTCCAATGATGGTCATTCCAACTCAACTGGACCCAATGGTAGCAACAAGAAAGCCAAGTCAGACAGTACGGTCGAATTGGCTAGGAAGATTTACGAGGAGGCCGCATCGGCCGTTAAAGGGTTGAATCTGACTGTCGAGGAGCACAGCAGTGACCACGAGGACAACAATTTGGACCAAGAAATAACCAACCAACTACTCCCAAACTCCGCCAAGGAGAATTCAGCCCCGTGTGAGACTGATCCGGCCGGTCCACCGTCTACCAGTACACCCACCGTCACTGGTGAAGGTCACAATAGTGATGCTGCTGCTATCACTGATCCAAAAAATAGTGAAATCCCCCACATTGTCACAGCACTTTCAGAGTCGCAAACTACTGTCGCTCCGCCTCCCGATGCGCCCAAAGGGCAACCCCGCGATCGCGGCAAGCCGGCCTCCAAGTCCTCTACTTCAGACTCAATAGAAAACTGTCGATTCCGCCTATGCTTTTCTGCTCCTTCGAGCGAAGGCACAAATGACACCACCCCAGCCACCCACCCCAACAAGGCCGTGTCAGGCACTGCGGCTGGCAAACGCAAACTCTCTGTATCCGGCTCCTCCGTCATGGCCCCTGGCACTCAACCTGAGGGGTCAACCTCGAGCCCCGCCAAATCTCTCCCAGTCAAGAACAGCTCGAAAATCCCTAAACCGGAAACAAGTGCACAACCCCCCGAAGGCGCTCCTAAGGATTCTCCTAAACCTGAGGACCCAGCTGATGTTCCGGCTCCCCTGTCCGACATCGTAGAAATTCCTAAGCCTGAAGAGGCTGACTCGACAACAAAAGATGTCAAGCCGGGTGAGATTTGATGTTTTTCAAGTTTTTTTTTATCTCCAACACAATTGTTGAATCTCTCGATACTCACAGACTTCTTTTGATATTCTTCTTTTTAGACAAAATTAAAGAGGAGTCGGGTCCAAAAGCCGAAGGGTCAGAGGAGAAGCCCCCGGGCGATGATTCCCAAAATACTCAAGCTCCTCCTGCCGAGGCGGATGCAAACAACGAAGAGGAACAGAACGAAGCCGAAGCCGAGGAGCTCGAGAGTCTTCCGGCCCCTGAAGCTCAAGCCGATTGCTTATCGATCTCTTATGATCGCAATACTCGTCGAATGCGCATAGATTCTGACTCGGTTGAAAGTATCAGAATCTTCAGAGCTGAATTTCGGATCGAGGTTGTAGTCAGGTTGATGCCAGCTATCATCCAAGGCGGGAAATTCGATGGTGCAGTTGATCCGTATCGGATCTGCAAGGGTGTTCTAGTGAGACTATCACCTACGGGTCTTCTCGCCGCTTCTCACATGTTGCTGATTTCTTTCTCGCTTGACCAGGTGGAAAATATTGACGCGGATACTGACGACTGGGCCGTCATTGATCGCGGGACACTAGAAGCCACATGGCGCAACCAAGAAAAACCGAAGATCACGGCTGGGGCCGAAACCAACGAGGACAGTGGGGACAAGTCAGAAAACAACGAGCGAGGCCCACCAAGCGAAGATAGCTGTGAACTCGTTGCACATGATCCTTTGCTCCCACCCCTGTCTCGACTTTTCCTTTCAACTTTGGAAAAACAGGCCCCCGACGGCCAATCCCAAACAGGCCAGCGTGATATCGTCGGCGTGCCCAACTTTAAAGATAAAACGGTCTTGATCATCGCCAGGTTGGATAGGGACAAGCCTCTGACAGAACCTAAATGGGTAAGAACCGGCGAGATCGAATCCTGGATCTCTAATAACACGGGGAGGATTTTTAATCCCGAAGATCAGTCGGAATGCGGCTGGCGCCGTAAAATAACTGTTGTTGATGCAGATCCTGTCAGTTCCCTCGCCCCCCCTTTTTGTCCCCAATTCTTAAGCATGGAACATCCGGAGACTAAACCTGCATTTTACTTGTCTGATTAGGCCCCTACGATCCAACACATGTTGGACACTTGGCTCACTACATCCCAGATCGGTTCGATTGACACTCGTCAACGATTCATCGACCGACACGTGGCAAAGAATGTAGATGTCATTATGGAGATCCTGTTGCGAATGGTAAGGGTTGGCAACACCCAAGTGGTCAGTCACGCTAACCAGGCGCTGATTGTCCAACAAGCCGCCACCCTTCGTGCGCCCTATCCCGAGCAGCAGACTCAGGTCTCGCTCGCCGTCTTGGGCCTCTACCGCCTCGCCGTTGAAACCGCCCTGGAGACCGACCGGTCTGTCGATGCAGTGATCAAGAAAGCTACCGATATTGTTCGAAGTCTTCCCTACCGAGGAGCCTTCAATGCCTTGGATGGAATCTACAAGGACGAGCATCCCAGCTCATGACTCATACCGTCTTCGATTATTTTTTTCCCCATCTGGTCTTATACACTCGTCAAATCGTCTCATTTCCATCATGCTCCGTCTGACTTCACGATATATAAACTGCTCTTGATGCTATCTTCGCTCGCGACTCGTCTCATTCCGATCCTTCGTTGGCTCTTTCCTCAGAATTCCTGGTCGTCTCCTCCTGTGTTTCAAATTTTTCAAGGTCTCCTGTTTCCCGTTATTCTTAATAATCGTTCTGTTCGTCCTCGAAATCTCTCCTGGTGAGTAATCTTTCTTTTTACATCCTGGTTCTCTTTGATCTGCTTTTTTTTTTTCTTCAATTACAGCGGGCGCCAAGTTTTCGTCGACCGAACCCCTTACCTTTGAATCGTTCTTTTTTTTCTTTTTTTTTTTTGAACAGCGCTTATCTAGGGATACCCTGCCTTCACTCCTCGTCTGGCAATTCATCGGTTCCCATTCTTTTTTTGATATATCTGAGTTCCTTTTCATCTTTTATCCATCGCGGCTTTTCTTTTTTATCACCGGCCACCAAAAAAGGATTAAAACTCAAGAAAAAGATTCAACGGACTCTCCATCCCATAAGCGTTTTAACGTCGACAACCAACAATAACAATCAATCGAAAAGGCTTTCATTTCTCATGTCGTTTTGAGCTTCATTGCCTTTTGTCCGTTATCCTATATCATATTGGGGACGTCTTCATTCAACTTGATTCATGTACATCTCAATCACTCCTCGGGTTTTATCCCATCTTTTCTTCATATCTTTTTCCATATACATGGCGTATCTCCATCACATCAGCATTTATTTCTCTCTCTCTCTTTGAATTTTTGAAAAAAAGAATATATAATCTTTTTCGGAAACTTGAAGAGCAGAGTGCTCTGGTTCGTTGAGATCAGCGACCAACCATGGGCAGAGAATATACCCCAGAATCTCGTTCCATGTGGATTTATCCTTTGATCCTGGTATTGCATGATGGATGGAAACGTTTGACAAAAGCACAAAAAAAAATGAAAATCGAAAAACCCCACCAAAAAAAAAATATAAAATCAAAAAATTAAAAAAAAAATCTGAGCTTGAAACAATCGCGAGATCTATATCTTCAACAACGTCAACGTCAACGTCCATCGATCGAAATACCCAATTCATATCAATATATCAATCAACGTCAATAAATATGTACACATCTGTTGCATCCAACAACATAACAAATTCGAACATCCTCAACCAGTCGTCATCCATCTGCAATACAGATCATGTAACCCGTGACCATTGTCCCCCAGGTCCTTGCGCGGTGCGCATCCTACTAAATATTGTTTTCTTAAGTAGTGAATTGTCATTCATCCTTTTAATCTTTCTTAATTAGTGAATTGTCATTCATCATCTTTAATCTTTCTATATATATGAATCTTGATTCATCCTTTCTTATCTCTTTATGTTGTTGAACTTTGTGTCTTGTTTCCTTTTCTTTCTTTCTTATCCTCGTTCCTTGAAAAATCCCCCCCCCCCCCCCCCAGTTTCTTCATATCACCCACCCCCACCCCCACCCCCCCATAAAATCTATTAAATACCAAAAAAAATAATCTATGAACAATCTTTCCCCGTTTTTGTTAGTGTTAGTCGCAATCCATATACATATATATACATACACTATTATAATATGTTAGTCGTTATTTCTAGTCTATCTATATATACGTAATGGTAATTGTCGTCGTTCTCCCGTTTCTTCTTTTCTTGCCTTCTCTTGTGTGTGTGTGTCTCTGTGCGTCTTTGTGTGTGTGTGTGTGTGTGTGTTGTTGTTGTTGTTGAGTGCCAACCTGTCCCAGATTGATATAAGGGGCAGTGCGGAGAAGCCGAAGGCAAGTAAGGATTGCTCCGACGCTCTCTTCCCTCAGCTCTACATCTCTTTCCTATGCTTTCTTGACCTTCCGTTTGACTCGAACACGGATAGGCCTAAAGCGATCGAGATATATATACATCTATAAATCTTGTTGTTGTGCTCGTTGCTTGCTTTTGCTCCTTTTTGCTGTTTTTGACAATATTGAAAAAAAGTCTCCGTGTTTTGTTTGCGTATCTACCTCTTCGTCCCCCCCAAAAAAGTCTCCGTGTTAAGTCTCCGTGTCCCCTACCTCTCGCCTTACCCTGCTCTAACTTCCCGTCCCCATAAGAAGTCCCCGTATTCCTCCTCCCGATGGAGCACCACTTTTAATTTTCTTAGGTAAGATGTATTTGCGTGTTCGTCATTCGGATGATGGACGCCTCTTTGCTCATGTGTACATATCGCTAACCCCGACCCTTGCTGCAGGAATTGATTCTCTTTGGCGCCTCTAGTTTCCCCGTGCTCTCAATCGATCCCGATTCCCGATTGTTTTTTTTTTTCATTGATCTACCATATTCATTGGTGTAGATACAATTTAAGATCTCGATGATAGTGCTGACACGTTTATATAGTCTCGACTGTGTCCAGCTGTCGTCCCCCATCTCCCCCACTTCAGCTATCTCTAATCGACGCGTGGGTCCGAAAGTCTGGTGTGCTGATCTTGTTGAGATTATCTTGTAGTTGCTGACACCCGTTTGGTGGATTTGTAAGAGGACATCGTCATTGGAGTGTACTGGACTGATGTTTTGTTTTTCTGCTTTTGAGTTGTGGATCCACTATCTTTAGTGTATCTGTATTCGGTAGGTGATCTCTGGCTGGTTCTTCCTCTTTGTTTATAAGTATCGCATCTTGTGTCACATTGTGGCTTTGTGTGTGTAAGTAAGTTAAGGATAAAAGGAAATATGCATGATTAGACTGGAGTCAAATTTTTCTTCTGTGCATGCAATGTGAAATTTTAAGTGAGGTGCAGATTCTTCAGACCCCGAGATGGACAAGCATAATCTGTCTCTTGGCTCATTCCCCCAACTTGCTCACTCTTCCTTGACTTGAAGGGTGTCTGCATCATGCGGTGTGACTTCCGTTCCTGATCCCTGGCTGCTCGATTTGACCTTTGAGAAACAAAACCTCTTTTTTTTATTTGTTTTGCTGAACACATGTATTTATTTGTTTATGACGAGGTGGGCAAAGTCACCTGTGAATCGGAATCGGCGTTGATTTATCTCAGTTACTGTTCGATCCACCACCGCCCCAGGGTATGAATAAATACCGCTTTTTTCAGAGTGAGCCGCTGGTTGGGAGAACGGGTTTGTGTTGGATGCCGATGACCGAATTGAATTTGCAGGGATGTTGCTGCAGCCAAGCGCGTCGAAATAGCTGGAGACCTTTGAGGAGGATCTTTTAGCCTCACTGGGCCCTGTACAGGAAAATCATTGCATCAACAAATGGATGGAGGACGCAACGGATTCCTCCTACCTCGAGTGTGCCTTGCTGGTAGCAAAGGGTTCTTCTAGCAGACTTTGCCAGTAGTATCCTTTACCCAACCCATGTGGCGTGCTTTGCCTGGTTTGCACCGCGAGGGTCTGCGATGCGCGAAAGACGCGATCAAGATGCTCTTCCTGGCTGGCCTGCGAATGCCATCGGGAAGGAACTCAGGTATTTATAAAGAGTGAGTTACCTTGCAAACAATCTGCACAATCCATCCACCATCCCAACTCCCCAGTGTACATATATAGCTTCTTTCTCATCAAGCGATTTTTTAACCAGGAACCGGGCTTCCATTTCTTGTTCATATACATATTTCTCATTCTTCTGCCCGGGTTTTGCTCTAGACTTGCCAGAGGCATTAAGCAACTCACTTCCAGTACATACATCTTCCAGTTTTTGACAGACTTTCATATAACATCATGCAGATCCACGCCTTGTTTTTCTTCGTGCTCTCTGCCACCGTCATGAGCCGCAGTGTGGCCCCCCACAACCCCAGAGCCGTCGGCATCCATTCTTCGAACCGCGTCCCCAGTCCACTCGCCCGTAGATCCGTCATCTTGGTGAGCCAATCCTTCCTTGTCTCTCTATGTACCGCTATCATCCCCCCCAACACCAACTCTAACATAAATCCTGCTCTCTTGTAATTATATCCTCAGAGACGCGATGGGCCCCCCGGTAGCGCGTCTGATGAACATGGTCTCAACGGCCAAACAAAGCCCGCCGATGACCCAAAAAAGGACCAAAAGAAAGACGGCGATAAAAAGAAAGACGGCGATGAAAAGAAAGACGGCGACAAAAAGCAAGACGGTGACAAAAAGAAAGACGAGGATAAGAAGAAGGATGGCGAGAAGAAGAAGGACGGCGAGAAGAAGAAGGATGGGGAGAAGAAGAAGGATGGCGAGACGAAGAACAAAGACGGCGCAAAGAACGAAGCGGACAACAAGAAAGATGACGACAAGGACGACCAAGACATCAAGGAAGGAGCGACTGAGGATGGCAAGAAAGCAGGTGAAGGACCCGGCGACAAAACTCCCGAGACCAAGGAAGGCATCCAACAGAAGATCGATGCGGAGAAAGCAAAGCTTGCCAAATTGAACGAACGCGTCAAGGCCAAAGAAGACCGGATTTCTGAGCTGGAAGAGAGGGTGAGCCTGGCTATCATCTCTCAGCGAATCCAACTTGAATCCACATTTGATCTGATTGAATTTTCTTGTGTTGTTGACGCCTTGATAGCTTAAACGAGGTGGTGGTGGTGCTCCGCCTAAAGACCAACCGGGTCCCCATGGCCCGGATCCGACCAAGCCAGCCGGGCCCCCTGGTCCGGATCCTAACAAGGCCGGCGGCCCCCCTCCTCCGAGTCCGTCAGGAGACGCTGGAAAGAAACCTTCAAAGCCTGGCAAAGTAGATGTTCCCCCGAACGACCAGCCTCGAGCAAAGTGAGCGCTTCTTCAAGCCGTTCTCCAGAATACCGTTTTTACTCGGCCGTCCGGCCTTGCATTTTTTTTTTCTTTTCTTTGCGGCCCACCGGTCCATGGGTCACACTTTGTCAAGTTCATCTCATTGATGATTTAGCTTTCAATCCTCAATTCTATCTTTTCCATTGATATACTCCAACGAACATTGTATTTTGAACTTCTTCACAATTCTTCATCAAGCATGTAGAAAACAAAAATATAAATATCCAATCTCTTGACACAACCATGACACAAGATTGTTCCAGGCATGGTTTGACCACCCCCAGGAGCCTCATGAGCTCCATGGAAAGCGCTCATACATAGCCATGCTTCCTCCGCTTAGCCCATCTGGTTTTCGTGCGATGGGCCGTAGGCTGGCCGTTTTGAAGACAAAGCTCCTTTGGGGCACTGTGGTTGGACATAGCAAGCTCAAGCCAGGCCTGTTCACAGGCCGGAAATGCTGCAACAGACAACAATGTTAAACCCAGGAAGTGGGATGATGACTTTGTCTGGTTATTGCTCTACAAAACCCAAGCAAGACGAGATTTACATCTGATCTGCTCGCCACTCTTTGTGTTACTTGAACTTGTAATATCACGCATCAACATGAATCGGAATTCTAACACAAACCGCAATACAAATAAAAAAATGGAAAAAGAGGGTGGAGATTTTTTTTTTTTTTTTTTTTTTTTTGGAAGGGGGGGGGGCAACTCGAACAGATTACATAGCGCGACGTTCCCGCGAGCAGAGCGGGTCTTCAGATCGGTCTTCGCAGGATACATGTTGATGCTATGCTCAAGTCGAACAAGCCGTGGGTTGTTTTTTTTTGGTCGCTGTTTTTTGGTTGGTTGGTTGATAAGAGCACAGACGGGTAGGGAATGTTGTCACAAATCCAAGGAAGAAATCGGAGGACCGAAGAAAAAAAAAGAGTGTAAGATGAAAGAGGGGACCACTGATTTTTTTTTTCAAAAAAAAAAAATGGTGAAACGGTATCCAAGTGGGCATCGAGCGGAAGCGATGGCCTCGTAAAAAAATCACTTAGGCATTTCGATATCTCGGTCATCGAATCTTTGGAGACTGATCATCACCTGTGTTTTTGGAGGGCACACACGACAAGATGATTATCGTCAGTGTCTTTAGGAGGATGTTTCGTAATTAAAAAAGCAAGCGACTTACGTCATCGAATGTGTATTGAAGGTATTTCTTGAATATGCAACTCCCGCCCATCGACTTGTCTTCCTCGAGCAAACACTTGCCGGCGATCTTTCCCGCTTGTGCGCCCAGCTCGGCCCAGTTGTACTGTTCAAGCCGCATGAATGCTCGGGCATCAGTTTCAATTTTGGGAGCTCCGAGTGCATGTGGTGAACTTACCTGGAGGGGGTAACTGGATTCTTCCGGGTTTTGACTAGTCTCATTTTCATTCATCTCAGTTCAGCGAAAAAGAATATTCCTTTCAGATTCGAGAGACAAAGCAGGCTGTGACTTACAACACAGTGGCGCAAGTTCCGTAGGAAACAAAGACATATGTTCCTGCGAATAGGATATCGTTATTCCTTGTGTTCCTTCCAATGCGATGAAGAGCAAAAAAAGACATACCTGGAGCGGCCGAAAGACTGCCGGTAGAGTTGTAAAGCTGAGCCTGGATGACTTTTTCGCAGTCTTGCTGTGAATAGGGGAAGGAAAAGAAATCACAGAGTCAGACGGGACTCGCGAAATGATTTTAAGGAAGTCTGTCAGAGGACTTACGAGGTCAGGTTTTTGGAAAGTCCCGGGATTGCACGTGATGCTCGTGCATTTGGCCGGTGTTAAATCCAACGGTTCGCTGCGAGTTGGGAGTGTGGGATTCGAATTTGAATTGCTGCTAGGACCTGGGGGCCCGGCATCCAATCCTCGTTTCCTGAGCGCATGGTGAGCAGCAGTGCGGCCAGGTATAGCCTCACAGAAGGTGACTTTTGCGTCGCCCATAGGGAAGCTTTTGATATGGCGATACGCGGGTAGATGAGCATCGCTGACTGTTGAAGGCGGTCAAACAAACTCATCAGTCCTTTCACTTCAATCATGCTTCCGATAGAGATTGATTGTGAGGCGAGGAATATGGCCAAGGACTTACTTCCTGCGATCGTCATCTTGGAGAGGAGCAGGCAGAGGGTGATACAGGCCAACATCGTGATTGATATGGGTAAGTTGAAGAGAGTGTGGAGTGGCTGATAGCTTAATTGGAAGGGGAGTGTTCTATGTAGTTTTTTAATGAGAGAGAGTGGAGGAGGACTCAGGCTGGGGACAGGAGTGCAGGAAGTCTTCGGCTCGGCAAACTTGGGAGAGGAAGGAGCCAATACACGGCCGCGTTTCAGCCGCCCGTCATACAATTATCAGACCAAACCCATTATGGCGAAACAGGGTATGGAGATCCCCACAAGATGAACACGTAAAACAGCTATACACCACTGTACAGTTGATCGGTGTGGAAATATCGAAGGAATATGGTGTTGTACTGTTCGCCTCCGGAGTCCGGAGACACGCCTTACACAAGCTGAAGCAAGTCACAAAGTAACCTCACCGTCCGAAATCGAGCTCTAACTTGTTATAACGAACCTTAATTGTCCGGCTGTTCTTTCTTTCTGAGTGTGACTGTGTGTGCATGTAAACCTTTGCGACCAACAACTACATCTAGCAAAAGCCAGAAGAAGGGACAAGTTTTGACATGGTTTATGATCCAGATCCAGGAATAAAACTTGGGGAACATTAACAAATTCATTGTGATTTGGCTCCTAGTCAGTTATCATTAATGGTGACTTTTATCTTTGAAATGAGTTGAAACTTGCTGGGCTGACAGCGTGTACAATTTTGCCAAGGATGACTTTTCCTTGGTGGACAGATAAATACAGCTTTTACAAGTTTGACAAGCATGAATCTTCCTTGATGGTGTCAGAAACAAGCTCTTAATCTTACCCTCTTCCTCTTGAATTCAAACTGAACAGATTCTTAACAAAATCAAAGAGGTATTTACTAAAAGTAACATTGATAGGAAGATAATGGTGAATGAAGAAGAATATAAACAAAGTGGAGTCTAAGATGGAGAAAAATGAAAATGGGAAAGAAGACGCAAGGCCAAAAGGCAGACCAAAAGGAAAACATTACCTATCAGCCCCAATCACCAAACTCAGACCTCAGTATGAGCACAGTAAGGATGCAGCTTTTGCAGTGCAGTGTTCAAGTCTAGGGGATAACATGTTGTCTTGAGAATCTGTCAACTGATATACAGATTCCCCTTGTAACTCAAGGGTCCTTTTAGCTATAAAAGTTTTTTATCTTTTTCAGAGGATGATTGGCATCATAAGGGCTTATAATTGGGGTTTCAATCATCATTGCTCATGTGGCATGGAGCTGTTATGAGGTGTCACCATATCAAGGAGGGTGCCGAAACCACCGGGACTTAGGAACAGAGGTTTGGTGGAGGAGGCGGCAGATGGAGAAGGTGAATATGGTTGGGTAGAAAAGACAGCGAAGCAGAAGAATATGATGACCCAAGGATCAAATTACAACAAGAGGCTCATTCGCGAAGCTGAAATGAAGATAGAGGACCCAGTCCGGGTGCCGCGAGTTGTGAACCTCCACGCGGCTTGAGTTGTTCTACTCTTGGCTTGGCTTGGCTATCGGGATTGATTCCGCTAAATCCCGAAGACCAACGGAGCCGAGTACCACTTGATCTGGTTCTTCTCCCAGGGCCTTTGGTTACATCCCACTCTCATGGCCCTAAGAACTTGAACCGAATAACGGGAGCGGATGCTCGACAAGCTTCCTCCAGATTCTGATATCGGATATTCGAGCCACCCGAAGCCGCCTGGTGCATTACCAGTATCGGCACGCTCGATCGGTAGTTTCGCGCAGAGCCCACTCCCGCCGACTCTCCTTGAATGGCTCAACTCCCCTGCCAACACGCCCCCCGCGACCAGCAACCGCTTGGCAGAACATCGGGGTCGGTGAGCTCGCGCCGGAGGCATGAGTGACGTCCCGCTCGGCTTGGGCGGCTCCCAAAAACATCTGGGCTATGTATGGGATCCGGGAGGCCGAACGACTCTAATCTCCTTCGCGCGAACGAGCTTAATGACTCGTTTACGTCCCAGCGGTATGCTCTCTATCAATCCCGCTCACCTCTTTGTTCTGTTTTAGATCTACATCCTTCTGCATACTTATTTCTCCTCCACTTACACACAGATTTCTCTCCCTCTTTCCTACACAATCCCGGAAACTCGCATGAAAAAAAGTCCTGACTAATTAGCAAGCCCTTCACCAATGTCTCCTCTGCATCCATTCCACTTCTCATTGCCAAAAGGTATGCGTTGTCGGGGATTCGAACCCCGGACTAAAGCTGATTCTCCCCGAAGGGGGTGGAAGGCTTCAATGCTAACCACTACACCAACAACGCCATGTATACCTCGGTGGTCAATTGCCTACCGGTCCGGCCTGATTTGTCATGCGCCGCTGGTGGCCGCAGTCACTGCGGAGGTGACAAATCAGCCGGGAGCGACATCCAAATGACCGTAGTGTCTTGCCGCAGAAATATGGGTATAGAGACCCGTCTTTCAAAGAGAATTAATTACTGGATCAGGTTGACTTGAATCATAAGAAATTTACATACAAGAAGAAATGATAGCTCAAGGAAACTGGATGGACTAATCATTATGAGTTGGAAGTACCATTGCGGTTTGTTTGGATGAGGACTGGATCAGTTGGTAAGTTTTTTTTCTTATTCCTATCAAAAAAATTAGTCGTAAGGTTTGACTTGATCAGGCTGGTACACTCGAATAAAATTCATGACAGATGTGTAATATCTGTGGTGCTTGATGCTGCAGAATTGCTGTGTATTTTTGTGTGAATTCAGTGTGGGACTGGACCAAAAGATGCACAAGAACAGAAGTGAATAAAACAGTGAAATCTTGTGAAATCATTTGGCTCACTACACGGCAGGAGCAATTGGTGAAGATCCAATGTGTTGGGCTGTTGTCTGGGTCAAATATGTAAAGAACACAGTAACTTTTTTTTTACTAATTTCATGATTCTTGATTTTGCTTGTGGTAACTGAAAGAGTGAAGTTTGTTTCTTGGACAACAATAATATAACACATCATGATCTGTAACTGAATACCCCAGAAGTTGAAGGAATTCTTTATCATAGAATAAAAATAACCTAGAATTTTAGTTTTTATTTTTATTTTTTTCTTTTTCACATGTTTTCCGTTCCTGAGTTTAACAAAATACCAGTCAAGCAGACCTGTTGAGATGGTGAAGCCTGTATGTATTAGTTGTATACTTATACATAGATATGCTTCTAACAAGCAGCCCACTGGTACTGCCTATTGGCTCCTCACTCATCTCATCTTCTACTTTTTCCTTACTGAATAATGTAAATATAATTCACTGTCAAAGTCCATTATCATGAGTTCCAATAGACTTCTTGTTTCAGTCACCTGTGTGTCCCTCAACAAGACCGTTGAACACAGCACCCCAACCACAAAGGTTGCCTACCAGTCATTGGGCCGTAAGTTGACTGACACAGATGGCTGTACAGTCAAGAGAAGGGCAGAATTACAGGCTGTTCACCAACATGGTCATCAATCAGTAATCCCAGTCCCTCAACTGGTATAGCATTGGTCTTTTTTGGTGAGCCGTCTGACCGGCCGCTGCCATGCTTGAAAGCTGCTTGAGCTCTGTTTGTACCATACCACATTGGTCAACTTGCAGGTACATCTCGGTCCTCCAACCCCAACAAGCCATATTTGGTCATTCTTTTGCCAATGATCCACATCTGATGATGAGGGGCAGACATGATCATTGAGTGACAACAT